TTCTTCTGTGCCGTTTTTCTGTCATGAATAAATATATGAACACATTTAAGAGGGTGATAGAATCTTGTTGTTCCTAGTGCTTTCATAATTAACATAGTCGGAAGCATCATCAAGTACTTCAGAATATAGTTAGTGATTAGAAGAATGGTTCTATCAGTCAAGAAACAATATCCTATCGAAAGAAAAAGGATGGGTCAATTCAGTATGCTTCAAAAGTGAGCAATCATCTAGAAAATAAAATTATACAGAAAATGAAAAATGTATAGAATCAATTACGGGTTATCAATAACAGAAGTTTCATACACATAGTTCCCTTTATTATCTTGAAGAGAGCAAAAACAAAGATAATACGAACTCATTTTTTTCTCCGGATTCTCATCAGCTGCTTGCAACCTATAGTACTTTAAAGTCAAAATTATTATAGATAATGTCACTTATAAATACTAAGGTGATTAAAGATAAACATCATAGAACAAACAAACATTAGATGATTGTGTAATGAAGTACGTGAAAACAAACTAATGGTGATGAAGAAAGACATGAGTCGAAGTCAGCCAATACGGATGAAAATTATGAATTAGAGAAAACGACAGTGATGTAATCAAAACTTGAGAAAGAGTTAAATCAATGAATTATGCAATATAAATCATGTAATGTTGCCAGGATAAAGGAAGATTTATTACTGTTTCTTTTCAAACTCACAGGTCTGATTCTAGACGTTTGCCCGCCATAGCTTTGGCAAATCTCAGACGTTTTGAATTTGATACATGAAAGTAAACTTATAACGTCATAAAACGTTACCTTTTCTATAAGGGTCAGAATCCGTTTATCTTTAATACCAGGTCATAATTTAAAATATCTACATAAAAGTTCAACAGAAATATTGCGTACATGTAACGGGAACATTACCTCTTTAGTAAGATGTGACTTCGCAACGCCAATTACTGGCTCATCAGCTCCGATGGGCGAAACAATAATGCTAAAATTAGCTTTCTCATTAAACAACTCAATTACACTACATTCTTGCCCTTTACTCGATGTTGACCTAATGTTTAAAAATTAATCAAAGGTTATCTACTAAAGCATTCTATAAGAGCTCCATATTCAGGAGACAAAGGTACATGTAATTCGACGAGACTTTATCAATGAATATCAGTTTGATCTGCTTCTATTTCTGAGTCGAATTCAGTTGGAGGTTTGAAATTACAATTGTGATGTGTACTACGTATTCGGATAGACATAGGCAGTATATAGCAGGAATTGGAAGTAAAATACTCACCAGCAGGAAAGTATAGTAAAGAGAATAAACAGAAAAACGAAGAGCAATCAGAATAAAAACAGGATTGAGAGAATGATAGTGTAAAAGACAACTGGAGGAAAATATGTATTTGATAAATAATTTAAGCATTTTACCAACTCCCTGTGTAATTTTACATAAGACGATATATTAGTTATCCGTACCCGAGTTGTCGATCGTTACACTATCATCAGATAATTAAAAATTTAGTTTAACATCATGGGCATTATTGGCATTCTCTAACTTAAGTAGTTCTTTATCAACAACATGGTTTAAGCCAGATTTGCTTTCGGACAAAGATTATACTTTAAGTACTTCAACTATTATTCGTTAAAAATCTAACTTAGCTTCCTATTTTCCTTTGAAATAATCTTAGTTGGACTTTTGAAACTGTTTACAACAGATGAATCAATAACTAATAGATTATCTCTATCACTAGGCTTTTTCTGTTTAGAAATAATTATACCTTGTATAAAATTTTTTAGAGTACATGTCTAGTTTACCGTAATCTGTGGTACGGTTAGTTATGACTGAAAATTTATTTGCTTGCGGGTTAACAGAGACTTTGTCACCTATTCACTAAAATGATTGCGAGTTTACAATACATACTGATTATTGGTAAGTAATATAATTTAATTTAAACAAAACATCAGGTACAAGTGGAGGCCATGATTCAATTAGCCTTAATTTAGACTAATCCCATTTATAAATCATTAGAATATAACGAGAAAAGCAAGATTAACTAAAAAGATATGATGTATTTGCCAAATAAAATTCAAAGAAGTAATCAGATATGATTTCTTCAACGTACTATCTTTTAAGTCAGGTAGGCCAATCAAATGAAACAAAAGAAAGTAAAAGAATGGATGATAAGCATTTTCAGAGTGACAATGAGTTATGTTCTTTGATTTTTAAGTTATGATAACTTCTTAAATAAAAAAGAAGAGAATAGTTGCAAGAAGTGAACTTTAGACTAGTTTTATAAATTGTTGACAGTTTAAAATGTATTGGGAAATTTCCTGATTTGATGTGACTCCAAAATGGTGTCATTCAGTAGTACTTAACAACACTCAATAACCCAGATACTACTAGTATATCTACAGTCTGTTAATATAAAATAAGTACACGAAGGTTTATTGGAAAGTATATTTTACATAACTTACAAAACTGGTAAGAATAACTACACTATCAAAACAGTGTATCATTAAGAGCAAGAAGGAAGTGCATTATCATTCATCTGATAGACTAAAAAAGTACGCATTCTTCATGATACCAAGTATTCAAACACCTGTAGAATAATGCTCCTACATATACCCGTTCAACATTGTACTCCTCCATTTTTCTAATATCATCGGGGCAAAGTTGTTTTGGAGATTTGATAACGCTTGTTAGTTTGCTTCGATTCAGAGTAATTTGTAGTGCACCTATGAATAACCAACCTATGTAGTACGTAAAAATAAAGCAGCTTGCAGAAAGATTTAAAACAGATTCTTTATCCAATCAACGATAGACTCCCTTATCCTATGTTTTTCAGCTCCAACTGGAACCTTGCTAACAATATCAACCATAGTTCCAAATCAAGTCATAACAGTGTTTAGTATCCAGGTTATTTTCGCTATTCTCCCATATGATAAAGATTTAAGCATCGCTGTTATGGATAAAACCGATCATAAAGAAAATGTTTTATCCGTTCACGCTGTTGAAAGTTAATTAAAATGATAGTAGAAAACTCGACTAGAAAATAACCTTCATTCTCTAACAATTCCTTAAAATGGACGGTACTGAGAAAGACGAGTCTAACACTTGGACGAACAATGATTCTAAACTTCATATATAATACATGTAATATTAAAAATCCATAGACCCAATATCACGCATTAAGACAAGCAATATCTGTGTGCTGTTCACATACATATAAACCAGTAAAATGAGTAACAAGGTATCTAAATCCTTATGAAACAAAACATGATCAAAAAAGTTTATTTTAACTTTGATTTCGCTCTGGTAGTTGTTTGTTTATTTTCCTTTCTATAGGTGATCCAAGAACTTCTCATTCCCTCCATATTGTGCCACTGTCTTCTTAAGTTTTCATTTATTAATTTTTTACCATTCATTCAAATATTTATTTAGCTAACCCCATTTAGTTTTCATTCAAAGTCAATTGACATAAGAGTATGCAATTATATTGTTCAAAATAGATCCTACAAATACACAAAATCTACGAGACTACGATATATGGAAGAACCAGATTCAAAATAACACGTCTTGGATTTTGGCGTGAAATCCACTTATCCAAAATGGCTAAATAACTCCTCCTGGAGTCCCTCTGGGGGCTACTGCCGGTCCCAAGCCCGGATAAAGGAGGAGGGCTGGGCATGGGGTTAGCGATCCCATCCCGTAAAAAACTAACTCGCTAAAAAAACGCTAACCAAAATGGCTAAATAGCATTTTCGGATTTCAGCCGATGTCAATTCGTGATGAAAACCCTAACTTTTATTAATAATCCTAAAATCCGACTGTAAATCCTTAACCTAATTCCTCAAACTAATTTATAGCACCCATTTAACCATAGTGAGTTGTTTTACACTCTCAAGGTCACTTAAGCATCGCTCAAAGGTCGTCCATAAACTATAGTCTCACCACCAAATCTTCCAGACTAACTCTACCTCGTTACATTTTAAATATTTTCTTGAATTATTTAGTAATCGTTCCTCAACGTTATGTCAATATTCAAATACTGCATTCGAAGTTTTAGCCTCTTGTTTGCAAATTTCTTTAACCAATGAAAATACGACCATGACTAATATTCATCAAGATTTAGGTTAAGCGAAATAACGTTTACTATATTGGGTGTAAATTTCTTGTGAGTGTCAAATATTTAAAACAAGGTGTCACCTAGTAAACTTCCATGAAACACCTTTTGGCTATGAACGAATGAGAGCTTAACATTATGTGACTCCATATATTCTTGTTTTCTTAAAAACACGATCTATTACGGCTTTAGAATATCATGTCAGACACTTGACGTTCTTTGAAAACTGAATGATGAGCATGAAAAATGTGATCACTTTACTTAACCAATATTGTTGACAATAAAATACAGATGAGTCAAATTAGCCATTGAGTTATAACGCAAACTAGCCATCTTTAATTCCCAGTTCTAGCTAGATTAGATTCCTTTACTTATTTTCTTTCGATACTAAAAAGATATATTAATATACATATACGTCCGGCTGTTGCTCAAAACAACTTATTTTTATCGAAAATCGGGCCTATATTTTTGTCACCAAGGTAGATCACCATCAGTGGATTGGATATTATACATATATAGCACTTTCACATAACACAATAATTGAAACACTAACTAACCAAAAAGATGCAGTTGAAATGAGGGCTTCTAGGAATGATCTGAACAATTGAAAGCAAGATGTGACACAAGTATTATGATAAACAAGAATATATTGAAGGAGATAAGATTAAAGTTATAGGATTCCTAGTTCAAATCACATTAGTGTAATTAAGAATACTGAGTATGATTCTCTGCTTAATAATTACTGTAACTAACTAGTACTTAAAAAAATGAAAATCGCACATAAATTGCTATTTTTTAGTTAATAATGAATTCACATTTCGATTTCAACTAATATTTGCTACTATTCCAACGAATCTGTGTAAAATACTGCATGAACAAAAATGAAACAATATCTAGAAATTTTTATATTTCGATGAAAGAAGTAGGTAGATTTCAAAATTCGAAAGCCGAATTCAGTTTTTTTCATATTAAAATATTATACTTCTGTGTGGATTAAACGGTAATGAATATTTTACAGTAACGCGATAATATATGGTCAAGCTAAGTCAACTGAAGAAATAAGGTTTAGAATAACGGTTCTAATTATTCTGTGTTCTTGATGTCTCCAGTTCTTTCATAACATATAGCACACGCTCTTCTTGCCATGGTTTACCAATAATTTGTACACCAACCGGTAAGCCTTCACTTGTTTCCTGGTACTTGAATACCTCAGAAAGAAATCGATTGCCGACTTTCTTGTATTCTTCAGCCATCACTTTTGAGTTTTGTACATCTTCCTTACTCACATATCCCATTGGGACTGTTCCAGCTGGATAATCTAACAAGTTAAACAATACTGTATAAGCAATAGCTGGCGTAACAAACATCGATTTAGCCGACTTTGGAAATGCTGGGAAGGGGAAAACTGGACAAATGATTGCATCCAAATTACAAGCTTCTTCCATAGCTCTTTGAAATTCATGTCTATACAATTCAATATCTGAGATTAAATTTAATGTTTTTGCTTCGCCCCTAGGACCGTCCAAAAAACTTGTAACCGCAGCTGGTCTACCAAAGATAATATTCAATAATTTATCTATCATAACTTTCAGCCAGTGTGGGAGACTAATTAAAAGGTGGAGAAATTTGGTGTGTTCATTTAGTGGTTCTGCAAACAAAGCCTCTTGAAGATTATATTTTGTGTCAACAGAAATCGCCTTCATACCTAATTCATAAGCCCATTTTATGTCAGGTGGATGAAACGGTAACAATATATGACCGCGTTGTCTTAGAATGTCCACTGATTCATTCACTATTCTGCGAACACTTGGAACGCTAGTAATAATTAGTGGATCCTCTAGAGTCGCATAATATCCGATTGTCAATTTCGGCTTATCTGTACCCGCGTAGATCATATCATTAAACAGTAATGGTGGCACATATGGATCCATTTGAAACATTTTCGTTGTTAAAAGTGTACGCATTAATTTAGCTAGATCATCCACTCGTCTACCCATTGGTCCAACACTTACTCTCAATAATACTGACTTTTTATGACCGATCACACCCACACCTTTACTACTAATACGATTAGTTGTTGGTTTTAAGCCAACAAGACCGCAGAACACCGAAGGAATTCGTATACTTCCAGCCAAATCTGTTCCGATTCCAACTGGAGATCCCCGTAAACTTAGAAGTACACCTTCACCGCTAGAACTCCCGCCTGTTTCATGTTCTGATGAATGAGGATTAGACATATCACCAAATACTGGATTTATTCCACTCAGAGATAGAGCTGTTTGAGAAGTTGCTGTCAGAACAAAAGGTATTGCTCCTTCATGTCTAAGTACTTCCAATATGCAACAATCTTCATGTGAAGGTTTATTACATCGTTCTATCAAACCAAATGTTACATCATATCCCTTGGTCGAACATAATTCTTTTAAACTGATAGGAATACCAACCAACGTTTGTTTACTTTTAGGTAAGCGATTAAATTTAGCAACGTCAACAGCCAACTGCTCCGCTTCATCAAGAAATTCACATATTCCTGAATTTCCTGAGTCATATAATTGTAAAGCTTTAATTTGATAGGCATGTAATAATTCAACTGATGTAAATTTGCCTTCAACTAAACGTTCTTGGATAGTATCTAAATTCAGATCTGTAACTGATAGTAAATCAATATTTGATGAACTTTTCGTGGATGAAAGATGTTCTTTCAGATGATCCATTCCTTGAGTTATTGATTGTCTTTTACGTAATAATTTAATGCGCAATTTAGACTTTTTCTTGAAATATTTCACAACATAACCAAGAATAAATACGATGAAAATCGGTAATAAAATTAGACGAATTGCATATTTTACTATCCATGCCAATAAAGTCGGAAGTAAATACCAACAGAATCGTAAACCTTGTTCCATATTTCGATTTCTAAAATATACAGAGTTTATACCATAATGAAATATTAAATTCACATCAGTTATGGTTCTTATATAAACAAATGATTATTAACTCATCGTATATAATATTGCAGTTCAGTTATGTGAGCTATGAGTTTCATTTCTACAAGTACAGTAGTCTAGCACGTGACCTTGAGAGTTATTCTACGATTCAAACTTACGTATTATCATCATCTTATATATTTATATAATTAGCTTGCCTATATATCTGATATTGGTAGATTATTATTATTATTATTTTAACACATAGATATTGGTACAAGGAGGCACCAAATACATATGCGCCACACAAATCCCATTCGATATGTGTGAGGGCTGTAATACTGCCCAGGTGCCCAAACCGAATCAGGTGGTTATCTTAGGGGGCCACTCCCTAAACCTTCGACCTGAAGGTCTGATCCACAAGGCAGTGGAGAATCGTAAGGAGATGCAGTCCCATGGAAGCCGGTGACCAACAATTGGTTCGTACGGCATTTGTTCCCGCAGGATACTGGAGCCCATGTGCACCATTGGTTTGGAATCCGGTTAAAGCGCCGGACATTCACTTTTCGTCCTCTCATTTTCGTAAACAACACCCCCGCCACGAGAAGGCAGTGAGTAGGACTTCTGTGGCAGAGGCTATATACGCGTGGCCATGTGAGAGTATTTCGAGAGGGAGAGCGGACTCTCCCCACTCTCGGCCGTACCAGGGCATTTGGGGGCATATTGGTAGATATGAAAAACAGATTAATAGATATACACTAAAAAAGAAAAGAACATTCTTGTAGTTATGTTTAAAGTTCTTAATATAAAACTACTTCAAACAATTCGATACATTTATCATTGACGCAGTTCAGCTTCCAATTTATCGTCATTTTAAAGTAAACACTTAGAATGAAGATCAGAGGCCTAGTGACTAAAGTATTCTGCTTTCAGTATGTGTTTCACAGATTTCAACTCCTTTCTTTATTCCAATTTAGGTGGTTAGTTAATATACAAGCCCCCACATGAAATACAGCTGAAAGTCGAATACAGAAAATTAAACTAGACTAGGAGTTATGAATTTTAGATTACTGGAAAATTATGCGAAAAGTATTAAAACACAGTACCATAAAATTCAGTAGTTGCAAATACAAAGTAAGAAACAGTAGGATTAAATTACACGATGAAGTTATAATAAACCACCGAATAATGAATAGCTTTATTGAAATTTACAAAAGAGGATTGCTCTTAAGGAGACCTGGATAGGAAACATCATTAGCAGTGAAACCGTGATTTATTTGGTGTCAGGTTAAATGACTGGGACTATAAGTAAATGAATAGTAAGAAAAAGTTTAACCGGATATTTGTAACTACTCGGTTTCAAGGAAACATTAGATAAGTAGGCAATTTTTACAAGTTTTGCTGCGTTTCTGAAGGCTTTCACATTCCAAAAGCGAGAAAAACTAAAACGGTACAAAATAATAAAATACTTTATCAACTTTTAGTGTCTAGTACCATGTCAAATCAACATGAGTTATTCTAGCTTCCAGATAGATCAGTTTACCCATTATACTCATGCTACATTCTGACCTTGTCACTTATTCACTTATTAACCCTGACTTCTTATATGAGCATGTGTGTTAATCCCTTACCCTACTCACCACATTTCTGCATTCTATTTTTTGTCTGACTATAAGTGTCAAGTCAGGCTTGGTTAAATCGAGTTGCTTTCTCCAATCCGTTTCGCCTTGATCTGTTCTTCGCTTCGTTTCTCTGATCATCTGTCTAGATCAACGATTATATGAAATATACGTGTTCATAATACATTTTCGTATTTCACTTATTTGGTTCCGTTATTCACTAAGGCGATTTAAGTCGATAATTTTATACGAGGATCGGTGTCATGTATATTTCAATAACGATCATAATACTATTTAAAAGGAGTCAGATATCGAGCCAGTAAAAATGGTGAGACAGTCGATAGCATCATCTTCCGATTTAATTTGGCATTAAAACCAAGGGCCACACCAAAATCTAACATTCTGAGTTGGTTTTCTAATTTATAGGACAACAAAAGATGTGTAATAAATAGGGATTGAAAGACCTTACTGGGAGCTGGAGTTTAGAAATAATAAGCTCAGGAAAAAAACTGTAGAGATGATTAAAAGGGCAACTAACTGCAACTTGTGTTTAGTTAATCTAGTCATCTTAAAACAAAATTCAATTAGATCAAGTCATTTGTGTGTACACAGACAAAATTGGTCATTACTTATAAAATTGGATGTCATCAGATGTTCAATTATATGTGGATATGATTACATGTCTATGGACATTCTGTGTTTAACTTTTAATCATGGTAACTTTTTCTATATTTTCTATACGAATGTGCTATTTAAGAAGTAAGAATAAGTTTCTGATAGCTGGTTATTTTCTTTTTAATATCTATTCATTCGACAGTCTTTTGTTGGTTATTTTCTTTTTATGCATAACCATTACTCTATTATAAAAACTCAATCAGATAATCGGTTAGATAACCATATATCTAATATTCATCCACTATAACAGTTGAGTTTACATTGTGATCGTGTAATTACCATCAATTTATAACAGCGAACAAAGACAAGTTCTAATTAAGACATAATATTATCTAGTATAAGCTGTACAAATGTGAGGCGAAAAGTCATCCTTCGTCCAAGACTTTCATGCACCTCTCTTATGATAACAAACTAATAAAATAATTAGTACAATGACTAATACAATAATCCTGGCATCCTACAACAGCCTGCTATAAATACACGTACAAATTGAATCACTCCACTGCATCGTAAATATAAGCAAAATTCATGATTTAGATATCATTACCTAGCATCTGATCGACATCACGATGGAATACTTAGATCACGTGTATATATTTTCTATTTGATCTGGTTTGTTCACTTTTTCTGTTCAGACATATATTTATTAGAAGAAAGTTATCTATTCTCTGACGAAACCCTTGTGCTAAGTCACAAATTGTATTTAGAAGAATGAGTTAGGACATTATTCTGTTTTTAGTATAAACTTCTCATTATGGATTTGTCAGGATCAAAATATTTGACTTGAATTTTTTTATTTTTGAGAGAATTGCCAACTGAGACCAGAATACTTTTATGATTTTTCCTTAAAATAAATTTGGTTAGGGTTAGTAAATAACGTGATACATACTGAATTGAAGACCGTGATTCTACATATACGAAAATAAATTGTACATATCTGTATGATGATGGGTTTTTCGATTGATTTAAAGCCTAGTTAGAGTATCTCTTCCATAATAACAATATTGCTTATCGTCCTTTACTCAGTATTTTTTGCTACTATTAACTTCGTATTGTTGCACATATTCATTCACATTTCTAAATAAATTCAAATTGAGTATTTCTAGGTTATTGTAGATTTTATTATTGTTTGAACTGAAGAACTTCATACTATGCTGACATGGAAGCTTTGAACCACCACAGTTTAATATGAACAGTTGAAACATTTGACTACCTACTCTGTCAGTATAATTATCAATACACACTATTAATAATTATATTGCATTTAATAGTACTGACATTCAGTTGACACGATTTTCAATCACTTATATTATTCTCAGAGTTACATTCCTTGATTTATCGGGTGCACTCACAACTGAAAACTGAGACGATACAAATTTTATTAGCTAGTGACTAGTTGGTCTGCATAATTTAGCTTCAATAGAAATCATCGCGTGATGAACTGATAAATAACATCTCAGACTGATACCACTGTATCAAATGGTTTTAATATACTTTAATCAATATTGAGACCTATACAGCATAAAAATGGTTATTATACAATGATGTAACAGAAAATAAAGCCCTTTCTTAGTATACGTCAAAATCTTTTCTATCCGTGAGAAATTCGCTTGGATTAATTAGCCTTATTTATTTTTTAACACATAACGGTTAGGTAAGTTATATGGGGTATTTCCATAACTAAGAAACCTTACCAGTTCAAATCTAAGCAATCTTTAAAATACTTACTTATGAAGATATTTCTGTAACAAAGAGTTGATAGATTACCTTGAAAGATATTAGAAATTACTTCCAATTGTTGATTTCTATATTTGAACACAACTGATTTTCAACTTGATTTTTTTTTCTATGGTGAAATCCAGAACTTTTATTGGTTATTTATGAAGTCAAATCAGTGACAAGATTTTACATCAAGGTTACAGAAAATGTCCAATCAAACGTGAGACAGAAATATATGTGGAATAAAGTCGTAATGATTTTGAAAAACATAAAGGACATGGCATTGATTATAATTTATTATCACAACCCAATTAGAAAATCATTTTGACCTTGAATGGCTTTTCTCAAGTGACGTCAGTGACAGCCAATCATTGATCAGTGTTATATTGACTTGGAAATTTGACCTATTTCGATCATTGTGTATAAACAAAAACCATTTGAAGATGAAGTGATGTTACTTATTCTGAAATGCGTTAGTTACTAAAAAAAAGTCATACGACATCAATGTTATAAAGTTATCTAAAACTAATTATCCTATAGTGTTAACCCTATGAAAATGAGACTGAATGGGTATCCTTATTTTCTGATAATTACAAAGACATTTAATATATCAAATATGCAATGTCTGTAAATTTAGCATCATGTTCTTTTCAAGTGTTACATAGATTTCATATTTTATAAACACAACGGTGATTGCATAACGATTTATATCAAGTTTATTTGCTTATAACATTCTGTAAATTACCTATTTTTCATAATCAGATAAGTAAATATAATCATACTTCAGATAATGAAGTAATAATAATCTTTGATTTCAATATTGAACAATACTTACTTAATATTCGATAAAATATACGATTTTAGGATGCTACAATTTTCTATGGAATGGTTTTAACGAACATCAAATTTAAATGCAATCACCCATTCACTTTACAATTATATAATCTATTGTACGTTTATAAATGAAAAATATATTTGTAATATCCAAATGAGTAGGAAAATTACATTTTCTGACGTTTTGTAACTTAGTGTAAGCCTTGTAGCGTGGCGTCGAGTTGAGATTAACTATGAACACCGCTACCAAGAAACACGTGCCAAATAGATCAGAAGGCGTAAGAAGCTCGTTCCAAATGACTCCATAAAATCCCCGAGAAGCCGAATACCAGAAGGCAATTAATGGACCAAGTCGAGGTTTATTTGCTGGCGATCTCGTGGCATCGAAAGGATACCGAGATCGTGCCAGGATACAAGCTTGGTTACAGGACGTAACCGAATTCGCGCGAAGTTACAATCAAAGAGTAAGTGTAAGAATGGAAGCACAAAATAGCTGTCATTAGCACAGTCAAACAAAAGCACGTTAAAACAAACACTGGTACAGTTGGTTATAATAATAATTGTTTTTATTAAACCAGTCGTGTTCTCGTGATAAACGTGAGTCACTACAGCCTCTTCTTCAGAGAATAAATAACCAGATCGGTTACGAAATGTCAGAAAATCAAGTTTTTCTGCTCAGTGGGATATTACAAATATATTATTCATTTATAACAATCTACCCAATGCTCAATTTATTCGAAATTATCAAATCAAACCTTGGTAATGATTGTAGGTTTAAATTGTACTCAAAATATTTTATCCTTTGTAATTCAAAATTAAACAATCCACATCTGAAAGATAAGAATTTCCCTAAAGCAAAAGTTATATTCACTTATATACGTTGTTCAGTTAGTTTATTCTCATACTTTACTTACTTTGTAAATGTATATTAACTATAATGTAGATTGTCTATTACATAAAAATAAATTTTATAATAACAAATGTGGTATATTTAGTGGGGCCCGTAATTTTGTCCTCTTTAGATCGGACGATGTTTGTTGATGGGCTCTCCACTTCAGTGTCCCGAGATCTGACTCCAATCTGATTGTAATAATGAATGTTGTTGAAATATATATGTCGCCTATCCTCGTGTATAATCATCGACTTGAATCGCGTTAGTCAATAACGGAATTAAATAAGTCGAATAACGAGAATGGACTTTCGAATACATATATTTTGTATATGAAGCGAATGGAATAGAGAGAAGAGAAACGACGCAAAGTGTAGATGGCTGGTAAGCCAACTCCCATTTAACCAAGCGTTAATCAATATTTAGTGTTACACAAAAGTAAGTTACAGACATGTGATGAGTAATGGGATAAGAAATGTACACACACCTACGCGCTCACATAACAACAGTCAAGATTGATAAGCGAATAAATAACAAGGTCAGAATGTGACTCCAGTAGAATGAATAGAATGGGCTGTCCGAAAGCTAGAATAAGGTATATGGGCTTAACATAATAACCGACACTACATATTAACCGAGGTAGTGTTTAAAAAAAATAAAAACAACATGATAAAGGAACAAATAATCCATCATTTTTCATATAACTCAAAGCTCAAATAAAATCATGGTAAAAACAAGTATCAATCTATGTGAGTTATAAAATATTAAAAGATTAAAGTATATGAAAATTCAAAGTTCAAATACTCAATTAATAAAAGAAGACATAATTTGAGGTGAAGGAAAATAATAATAAAAATCTTTATCTTTATCCAGGACAGGGTTGGATGGAGAATGCTGGTGAGCGGCCTATGCTCCTCCACGAGGAGTAACAGGCGTAAGTAAGTAAGTTATCAACCATTAGACTATGAAAGATATCATAAACTTGTTTTGACCATTGAAATGGAATCTATTATCCCAAAATCTCATACCCTATGATGTGTATAAAATAAAAGTTCAAATCTGATATGTGGACAAGAATGATGATGATTGGTTGTGTTGCTTAGTCAGATGTGGAAATAGTTTGACAAGTGTTAGATGGATTGGTTGAAGTTAGACATTAACACCGTTAGATGCCGACTCAGTGGTCTAGTTGGTTAAGTTCCTGGCGCAAAACTTATAGGTCCTTGGTTCGAGTCTCGCGGGGTGTGGAGTCGTGGATGCGCACTGCTGAGGAGGACGAAATGGCCGTCCAGGTTTTCCATGGTGGTCTAGTTTCAATTGACCCATGATTTCAATCTGCGAAGTGTTAGATGAGTTGTATATTTTCCTGTCCTTATTATTACTATTGACTGATTCTTAATTACTGTTGAATTATTGTCGGTTTTTGGTGTGGAAATATATTTACATTCTAATCAGGTTAATCATATGTTCTTGATCTGAGTTGTGTTGAAATTCTGTAGAACAGACACTGGGAAGAAATTTTATGTAGTTATTCATCTAAGGTAAATTAACGTCCCATTTGTGTAAAAAAAGAACCTCAAGTGTTATCACAAAACCATGCTAATATATCAAGAAATTAATCTTGACAACTGATATTTTCATCCTTAAATTAGTAATATTTTTTTGTATTTATTATAAAGTTTTATGCACAACAAAATTTAATCGATTAGTTAACAATGTTAACAATAATATTGTTTGTTATTCTCATCATTAAGATCATAAGCGTATCTAACTCATGGTATTTAAGATGATGTAAAATCAATTTTCTAAGAAATGTAAACTTTATCACGTTTTAATCAGACTTATATTAAACGCATTCAATGGTTGTCATTCTATAATACTAAACATAGATGATTTGAAAAAAGAGAAATAAAAAAGACAATTACATTGTCATATGTGTCTTGAATTAAAAACATGATTAACGTGTTTAGTTTTAATATAATCATAGTTCTAACACATCTTCATACATGAAGATGTTTTCGACCAAAATTATTTGAATTGATTGAACTAGATTAAATTTAATTAAATCATAAGAAAAGTTTGAAATATACTTTGGAATGGTGGATGTGTCGCTCAATTTCGTGGACACCGCTGGATGCCGACTCAGTGGTCTAGTAGTTAAGTGATCGCGCGCGAAACCAGGTCCTGGGTCCGAATCTCGCAAGGGCGAGGTCGTGGATGTGCACTGCTGAGGAGTACCACAATAAAACGAAACGGCCGTCCAGTGCTTCCAGGTTTCCCATGGTGGTCTAGCTTCAACTGACTCATCATTTCAACCATTGAAATATACTTTTATAATTATTTGATTATTAAAATTAGTGGAGAAAAACATTCTAGTACGATTATTTCTTAGGATTTATTGTTAATAATCATTTACATCTATGAATATTTTCATAGAACAATCTTATTTGTATTTCTTATGATTTAATTCATTAAAGAAGGTTTATATAAGTAATTGATTTTGTTTAGAGAATGTGCATTTTTGGGTATTTAATTAACTAAACATTAATACTACCATAAACTATCAGTTTATTTAGGGCAAATAAATCAGCTATGTCCCGAGTTGTTGGATTTCGATACGAATATGCAAGCTGCCAATATAAAAGTCTAATCGGCTACTTGAATGTCAAGACCTAAGATGAGGAGGAATCTCTATTGGCTAAAGCGAACCGAGAGATACATTTACACTCATATATATATATATATATATATATATATATATATATATATATATATGCCTTTTTAAAATCAAAGCTACATATCTAGCCTTTGTTGTAAGTCTAGTTCCTTAGAAAAGGAATCCAAATCTTGGCCATGTGCGTGCGCTTATCACTTGGTCGATATCTGACTGACCTATTCTATCAGGATCATGTCAAGAGATCACAAACATAATGATTACAAGCCAATTTCATTGTTCAATACCAAATTGATTTTTTTAAATTCCATTTTTAAGATGTTTCATTATGTTGTTTTATTAATTATGAAATTAGACAATTCTCGTCGTAGTAGACAAGTTCAATGCTTCAGACTTCTGCATTTCATCTTGGATGTTGCGGTATCGGACCATGTAAATTTATCAACATTTGTAGTATAAAATATTGGGTGGTTTATTGTTTTCCTGTACGTTTAAATATGGTTTTTATAATAAATCTGTTAGTGTAATGACCGAAAATATAACAATATGATTTTTGCTATTAAACTTTCGAATTTACTTTTTATGCTGTAATAAGCTAAAACACAGACAGAACTTTATCGACCTATGAATCTCCTACTTAAAGTAAGCGTTGATTATGTTATGGACAATGACGACGAAAACTTTGTAATTAAACCATCTAACTTGTAAAACTTGATGTTATCAAAAA